GTTTACCATGACATTTTTAGAAAACATTGGTCCACAACGTCCTCAGTTATTGATTCTGGATGGGCACAATTCTCACAACTTTATTGAGCTAATTAGTATTGCTATCCAGAACCAGATACATATAGTTGAAATACCTTCACACACATCAAACTGGTTTCAACCATGCGACTGCACCTTATTCAAGCCACTAAAGGATTATTATCTCTCTACAGCACAAGATCTGATCGGTCAGTTTCCAGGAATTATTACTTGTTGTATAAATTTTCCAGGAATAATTGCTTCAGATGGGGAAAAAGCAACGACTTCTAGCAACATTACATCTGGGTTCAAGTTGTGTGGAATTTATCCATTTAATCCTCAGGTTATTCCTAGTGATGCATATTTACCAAACTATCTACACATAGCTGAGGATATATCAATTAATACAACTGAAAACAATCGTTCTTTGGTTGGTATTGTAATATCATGTTTTTGCTAATACTACTATGCAATTAAAATTATTATTTAAACTTTAGCTAGCAACTGTTACTAATATTTTATGTACAAATTTATAAAAATTCAGAATGAAGCATAAAGTTTACTAACTTGCATTTTAATAGTATTATTTATTATTTTCCTAGGAATTCCAATCATCAATTGTTCAAGAAAATAATTTTTCAGACGTTGATGCTTCTATAGATGCTGGAAAAATTGCTAATTATCTAGAACAATTACAAAATGGCACTGAAGAAGATACGCAACTCACAGTTCATTACAAAGCAACACTTCTATTTTGGAAGCATAGATTATTGTTCGTAATAATCAACTTACGTATTTAGTCAATCCAGTTGAAGAAAAAAATGTTCACTGCATTGTAAATAGATTTACTAATCTTTTTGATCAAAAAAAAAAAATTTAGAACCATCAAACTTTAATTCTACTACAGTTACAGATTTTCCGTTTGCAAAATCTTCCTACCCGTTTGCAAAATCTTCCTACCCGTTTGCAAAATCTTCCTACCTAAGTCAATCATTTTACAGTTTTTTTTCATTTCATTTGATCAAGTGATCAATAGTTGCATAGCAACAATGCAACTTTTAATAATTTTTTTAGTTTTAAAATAATTCAAGTTTCTTAAAATTATTTAAATACAAGTGATGGAGATGATGCTGTCTTGGCACATCCTAAGGCCAAAAATCATACGGAATGGATTTCACCATACGGAAAAAGGTAACAAACAGAGAAGGTTAGGTTAAATATTTCGTTTTAACTTCTCAAGAAGCATACTCAGCAAAGCTGAAATATCATCAAGACAAAATCCAACAGGAAAGAGAAAATGTGAAAGAAAAACAACTGCGATTTGTTAATGCTGCTAAGCAACTCAAAGAAAAAGAAGAAGAAAAGGAAAATTAGAAAATCGTGCCAACAAGTCTATAGCAACAAAAAAAAACGAAGTTCATTTCATTATCATCTGAATTGCAACCATTGGTTGAACCCGAGAACAATACTGACTAATATGTACTAAATATTTGACAATATTTTTTTATATAACTAAAAATGCATACAATTTTGTCTTATCTATATAAACTTTTTTTATTTATTTTTTATTTAGGAATACTCTAATGATCTTATTTGTGATAAAACCTAATGGTCTTATCACTAAGCAACCTAATGGTCTTATCACTAAGCACCACCACAAGGGCTTAACCATTTAATGAGTTGGGTCCCCATTTTGAGCTTTACAGATAACGTTAAGTGTTTCGAGCAGGATTCAAACTCGTAACCCTTATACAATGAGAACCATGCTCTAATGACTACGCCACGGCTGCTCAATATAAAAATTAAACTCATGACTGGGGCAAAAAGAAGACAATATTTGTCATATCACTGCGGCTCGTAAGTATTGATGTGTTGAAACTATACTTTATTTACACATTTTACAATTACAATTGCAGAATCCAGATTCGAGTCAGAATCTAGGGAAAAAGTTCGCATTCACAAAAACCCCATGGTTTTATACTTTTCTAATCAAAATGGTGCAATTGAGCATAGAAATTAACTAAAGAGATTTAATCTCACTCACCTGTATATAACGTCGCCCTATGCAAGTATAAGTTCTTTTTTAATTTACACAGTGGGCGACTTTCAACAACATGGCGAGATTGAGTTCAAGTAGACGAGAATCAGAGCTTTTGACACACTGTAAAATTTATAATGGTACTGCCAACTACTCTCATAAAATCTAAATAGTTTTACATAGTTTTGTAGCTGAAGGAATAAGCTATCTAATGATGTATAGTTCAGCTGTGCAAGTGTAATAATAGGCTGTCAACATCAATTTCAGTGCGGATGTGGGCGAGGTTCGATTAATTTACCCTACAATACTTTTTTTTTTAGATATTGTTATTGTATTATGAAGATGAACTGAAATGCATTATTTACTGTTATTGTATTACAGTATTACAATAATTGCAAATCACAGGTATTGTTATTGTTTCTAAAAAAGTTAATACAATAACAATAGTCATTGTTTCTTTTACTTTTTTCATTACAATTAGAACAGTCCGAACTCTATTTTAAATTAACTCTATTCTAATGAATATTCTCATTGCAATAATTTTAAATTTATTTTATTTGGGTTTTCTGCAAATGCGAGTCAGCGAGAGTTTGGCAATATTTTATCAGAGACTCTTCTTGTAAAAATATATTTTATCAAGATGACTAGTTATCTTGAAAAGAAAACTTTTAGCAAAAAATATTTGTTTCAAAAGTTTAAAAATAAGGTTAAAATTTTATTAGAGAAAGAGTATATCATAATGAGAAATCTTAACACGTGCTAAAAATACGAAGATGAAATAAGAAATCTTTTCAATAAAAAAGGAAATCTAAACTTGGTAGCAAATATACGAAATTATTTTAACTAGAGCTTAAAAGTTTTTTAGTTTCTTTATTTTTCAATCTTTATCATTTTAACTTTAAATTATTTTGATTGATATGTTGTCTTTTTTTACATACGTACCTCAACGGAATAAGGAAATTTATTTTGTTTATGTTATCGATGAACATCTTTAAACACTTTATATTTTTAACGGCGTTTTACGTATCCTATAAAAATTATTAAAAGGTGTCAGTCAAGGGCTGTCGACTCGCGTAAAAACTTGTAATTTGTTTACAGAGGATTGTGGGATACCCTGGTAAAAAACAAATAAATACGTTGTTTTCAACGTTGATTGCTCTTAATTCATTTTGTAAACTATTTAGACATTATTTTTAAAAATTCCATATTAGAATTATAGGTTTCTCATTTTTCAAAAGAGCAGCAATATCACAGTGTAGTATTAAATATATCATGTCTTAATAAAGCTTATCGGGTCATAATAATAAACCAATTTAAAAATCTTCGAATGAAACTTGATAAAATAATTTACCATGTAATACCATGTTAATAATAATAAGGTATTTACATAGCAAGTTATCATTTTCAAGTTTAAAGTTTAAACACACACACATACATATGTATGCATGTATATATATATATATATATATATATATATATATATATATATATATATATATATATATATATATATATATATATATATATATATATATATATATATATATAGAATGTTGCTAAAGTGGCGATAAATACCGCCACGCTAAGCTTTAAAATTTGCTAGAGTGGCGGTAAGATTCATGACGCAAAATACCGCCACCTAAAGTTGATATTTTGCTAAAGTGGCGGTAAATACCGCCACGCTAAGCTTTAAAATTTGCTAGAGTGGCGGTAAATTGCAAATTAAGCAAAACCATCACAAATAGTTAATATTTTACTAAAGTGGCGGTAAATACCGCCACAGAATTATTTATTTTGCTAACAAAACGGTTTCGCTAAACATAAAATATTGCCCGAGTGTCAATAAAGTCCAAGTATAAAAATGATTAAAATATTTTAGGCTATTTATAATTTTTTTTTGAATTTATAAAATTTAATTTTTTATTTAATTTAAGTAAAATAATACAAAATTACTTAGGTTAACAGCAACTTTTGTTTTTCGCAATTGCTCCGATCTGCTTTCCCTAAATATACTTAGTTTAGTACTTATAAGTGCTTTGAATTACTTACAATAAGTAATTAACAACTCATTAGTAGGCATACTTGCGCAAGTAAAAGAATCGTCAACTAAGTCAATCTGCATTACGCCAACGAAACAAGTCGTTTCGTTGAAAAAAAAAGGTTGGTTGACATGATAGCTAACCGTGTTTAGCCCGAAAAAAATAGACTTGATTTTTTTATCACTCAATGTCAGTTAAATGAGAAAATCTAACTCTTCTGATTCTTTTCCTTAAAGAGTAGAAATAGTACAATTGGTTCACTTCAGGCCTAATTTCGAACTAGCAAATATGGCGGTTTCCTATTGGCAAATTTATTGTTAATATGTTAATGCATATATTAATACTATACGAAAAGCTCATTTACCAAACGCGTAATTTGCTAGTGCTAAAACTAAGTAATTTATTTTCGATTAACTAACGGAAAAGGCAACTATATATAGTTGCACATCAAAAAAGATTTTTATATCTATTTTTACGATTAAGAGTCTTTTAATTTGTCTAATAAATTTCAATACACAATATTTAGTTTCTAAACAGATTTTAACAAATATACGACTAAATATAGCCTATACGACAAAAGGTAAACGAATTTGTCAAGAATTCAGGCACTTTGACCTAATTTCAACCGAAAAATTTATAGATTCTGGAATATTGCAAATCGAAAATAATGCAAATACTTAAATTATAAATTATAACTTAGATTACAAGGTTAACTCTTAATTCAATTTAAAAACCATAAATCTAAATATTACAAGTAAAAAATATTTTAGCGTTAAATATTCAGCTTTTATTTTTAAAGTCACTTATCATTAAGCTAGTTTTATTAAATGATGTAAACCTATTAAAATAAAAATGTTAGATTTTCGGATGTATGAATTAAACTTCTGGATGTATGAATTGAAACTAGTTCTCTCTGCCGGGTGCAGTTAAAATACAACAAATAAAAATGACTCGGCAAAATCTCAAAGCTAAATAATATTTTTTAGAAGTATATTAACTTTAAAACATAACATTGTAAGTAATTTATATTTAATATTTCTCACCTTTAAACTAAAAAAAATTTATCATGGAAAAGCAATCAAATAAGAAAAATAAGCAAAATTGTAAAAAAGACATAAAGAAATCATAATTACATAATAATCACCATATTTTAGTATAACATTGTTGTCTTGAATAGTGAAACCGAATCTTATTTAAACACGACTGTAATCGTTTCGAAGAAGATAATGATCACAACATCCATTCCCAAAATTACATGTCAAGGAACAAAAAATTAATAGACACTTCATGTTGATTAGCTTTTAGCTCCCTGACATGTAAACAATGTATTACTACAACTTGATCATTTCAGCATTATCTAAAATTATAAAAGGTAAATGAAAAAAGTAAATAAAAATAATAAAATCAATATTTTTGCAGTGAGAAACTTTTATTACATTTACATTAAAATACCATTTCAGTTTATTCTTTTTTTCCACACGTCAAAATTAATTCATTATAGACACTCAAAATAATTTAATTTACCTTTATCTTTTTTTTCTTCTTCAAATGTATAATTAAAAAAAATGCCTAACTTAAAATTCCCTCATATTGCTGGTTTATTTGTTTTATCAAGACCTACTTTGATTCAAAATTAGAAAAAAAAATCGCAGGGTAAGATATATAATATATATATATATATATATATAAATATATAAATATATATATATATATATATATATATATATATATATATATATATATATATATATATATATATATATATATATATATATATATATATATAAATGAAGAGGAAAAAATGTAAACAAGCTAGTATTTACTTACTATTAATCATATTTATATTATCACTATATTTTATATAAAATATTTTACCAATAGTATATAAATATATATATAAATAAGTCTCTCTCTATAAATTTATGCTAAATATATAAATATAAATTATAATATATAACTATATAAACACAAAAACTTCATTTTACACTAATAGTTTATGTAAAAACCATATGTTGAAAAGTATTCAATGTACTAATAACATTGTTTGCACCTAAACTGTTCACTTGACTTGAGTTTTTTGTTGAGACCAGAACAATAAGAGTGATACCAACCATTACAATGATCGCATTGAATCCAAGGAACTGTTTTAGTTCTTTTTTTAGGAGGATCAACAAAGCCACATTCCTTGCAATTGTCATTTTGTTGAAATTGGCCTACACTACTTTCTGTTGTACTATTTTGCAGAGATTCTGAGATCTTTGGCATAAAAGATGATGGCTTAGTTGTTTTATTACCAAACATTTTAAATGCTTGCTGTTTGGTCGCAGCTGGCCTGCCACGGACCTTTGGTATTCTGGCAAAAAATAACTCTTCTGTAAAAGGTTTCTCAAAAGAACACTGCTCATTAGATTGAGTTATTGAAACAACATTTGTTTGAGCCTCAGTAGTTTTAACAGTTGATGCAACATCAGTTATTGCAACATCATTTATTGCAACATAAGCTATTTCAAAATCAGTTATTTCAAAATCAGTTACTGCAACAACATTTGATGCAACATCACTAGATACAATAATGGCAGTGTCAACACTGCAATTAACAGTTGGTTGGTTGTCAGAAGCTTTAACATACTTTGACAAATCTGAAACCAATGCATTGTTGTTTAATTCAAAATAAATTGACTCAATGTTTGTTAAAGCATTAAGAGCTTCTTCTGGAGTATTATTAAAACTAAATTTTTGCAGACGTTCCATACTTTCGTAATATAATGGAAATAAATTCTGTGGCTGATCAGCTACAAACGATGCAATTTCTTTCATTAACAACATTATGGAATTGAATCTTGAGGAACGTGACAAACTTGGAGTAACACGCGATATAGAAATGGTAGTGTTTTGTGAAACATTGGCCAAGTTTGGTGTATTAGTAGACAAGAGCCACCTGCATTTTTATACTTAAATAATCATTTTTAACAATATTAAATGTACTGTCTAAAATAAAAATATAAATAAAAGCTCAGTCACTAAGAAAACCCAAAAAAAAAGCAGGTAGGATTCATAAACTAAGTTTTGTAAAATTGTTATGTTATATAAAAGCTAACTGATAGCTATTTAAATTCTATTATTATTATTTAAATGCTATATTTGAATGCATTTAATTTAAATGCTAATAAATTACCTACATATACATCTACAGAGAAGGTAAATGATTTAGGATTACACTGAACAACAGTTTTATTGATGTTCAGTACAAGGCCTAAGGTTATTTTATCACATATTATGACATTAAATACCACATGTGATTAAATTTAAATATGAGTTAGATAAGATGATAAGACAAAGATAAGTTTAATAAAAATATTTTTATTATGACTACCTGACGCTTTCCTTTTCTTCGAGATTTAATTGCTCCAGAATGCTTGCACTCCCAGTTTAATGACTGGTACTGGATTTCTAATGAGAGCTGGCTATTAGGGGAAACCTAAGCGAAGAAAAAAAATATTCTAATTGCACTAAAAATTACAAAAAGAGCATGACGAAAGAAGCGTGTTAAATTTGCCCCCAGAAAATCGCCTATCAAAATTTTTGCTTTTTAATCAGTTTGTTATTAAATATCACCTCGAAATCTACCGGAATGACATGAAAGAAATTCAGATGTTTATGGCCTTTTTGAAGTCATTGAAAATGGTGAAACAATATTAATTGAGATTCTAATCAAGGATCAAAGCTTATGTTCTTTAATTCGACCAAACAACATCAACATATTGCATTGCGGATTCTTTGATTGCATTGAAGAGCTTAACCCTTAATCTCAGCACTTACTTTTTACCCTTTAACACCACCCTTGGCTGCTGCAGACAGTAGAGTAAATATACAGTTTTAATGGATTAATTTGATTAAAGTTTGTTAAGAATTTATTAGAAGAATTTATTAGTTTTTGCATCTTTAATGTGATACTGGGGGGTTGTGTTGCTCAAATAAGAAAATACAATTATTTTGCAAAATGGGATTAATTATGTTGGGGAATATTTTAGAAGCCTGCATAGGGAGATTTGAGTATAAGACCTATGTTTCAATAATAATAAAAAAAACAGTTTAGAAGATTTAACTTTTTTAGGACTTTTAGCCACGGAAGAAAAATTCTGGCCCACTGTGCAATGGTATAAAATTGTACAATAAATAACCAAATTAATTGAAGTTGCTTTACAAGAAGGGATTCAAAGAAAAAGGATGTTTATAAATAGTAGTTTGCAGAATTTGAACTCTCTTTATTGTGATTTTTTACTATAATCTTAAATAGCATTTAAATAAGCTTAATATATTAAATAAATAAATAATAACTTCCATGGATATACAATATATTGCAAATGCTATAGTAAGAGATATACCCCATATAAAATAATATAGGTTATCAATAATATGTTTATTGCAAACACTAGTTACTAGTATGTGCAAAAAACATATTATCTACTGTAATCAGTTTCTTTACTAGTCTAGTAAAGAATAGTAACAATATATTTCCAGTAAAATTATTATGAGCCACATAAATAAAGTAATATTTAAACTGGATGGTTCACTCTCAAATAGTACTGCTAAAACAAGGACAGCGACCATGAAAATTGAAAAACATATACATAACAAAAAAATCACATACTTTTAAGATTAAATATTAAAACCAAGATTAAATATTAAAAATTTTCAAGATTACATATTTGAAAAACAAAAACATGGATAATCAAAATAAAAAAAAAAAAATGAAAAATAATAAAAAAGATATACTTCAACATAACAACCAATAAAATTGTTGTCTCATAAAAATTCTTGATTTATAAAATAGGATTTGAGTTTGTTTTTTAGTTTTTTTAACTGGTAAAAAGGACAGTCACTAAACTTAGTTTGAAGGTGATTCTAGTCTTTTATTGCTGAGTGCATAAAGGAAGATTTGCCAAAAAATTTAGTATTATACGATGGAATGAATAATCCACCTCTATGTAAGATTCTTGTCAATTTAGTATGCAACTTATTTATTAAGGAGAACCATTCGCTAAAAATAGATGGAAGCATATTATTTAGGCAGCCATGCATAAACAGGTAATTAGCAATTTTGATGTGGTCATAAAAACTTATAATTTTAAGGTCTTTGTAAGAACTCTTAGTATAGGAATTATGAGGTAAGAATTTAATTATCCTTTTAGCTCTTTTAGTATTAATAGTATTAGTTTATGTTGTGAATGGTATTGCTACCAGTGAGTGTGGTGTTAAAGTACACTATGACAGCTGAGTCTTGTGATGGTTTGACTCCAAACGATCAATTCTTGCTTTAAATAAGTTGACTGAATTAGCTTTAACAACGTTTTCTGGCAGTGCATTCTAATAATTTGCAGCTCGATTTAGTAAAATATTTTCTCTATATTTATGTACAGAAAATTCTTTAGAATACTTTAGGTTATGACCATATTTTTTTTAAAAATATTTACTTGTTTTAGAATGGGTGAATTTTGCCTCGAAGATAGGCAGCAATATGTTAGGTGAGAGTTGAATAAAGCAAAACAAATTGATTTTAAAGTTTTTTCATTAGCATAATATCTTAGTTTAGATAAGATAGCATTGAATCTGTTTAGTTTAACTGATAATTCATTTAAATGGCATTTCCAAGTTAAACTCTTGTCTATTTTTAATCCAAGATAGTCTAAACTCCTTTGAAGAAGGAAAGAAGGAAGAAACTGATTACAGTAGACTAACAGTTATTGGAATCACTGAAAATTTATCATAGTTTTATAAGTGTGGCACATAAAAAGATACAGTTTTAAATTTAAACTTTGATTAACACTTTTTGCTAACTGGTTATTACTAGTCTACCATTTTTTTCGCAGTCAACATGTTGATGTTTATAAACTATGCATGCATCTGTCATAATTCAATAAAGTCATTAGCTTTTGCATTACATAGAAGCACTAGAAGCACGATGCAGGCTTTTTAAAGTTAGTATTGCATATTAACTTTAATGTATTTACCAATGATTGGTAAGCACATTAAAGTATTGAATTCCAAATTGAGTTTAAATTAAACTAAATTAAGTATGCAATACTTGCATACCTAACGTCACTTTCTCATAACACCATAAGTCACTTTCTGAAACTCATAATACTATTTTTCTGCGACTCACAGAAATATAACATTTAATGTCATTTTATGTCAGAAATAAAACAGAATTCACTTTTTTCAAAAAACACTTACTTTCTTATTATAAGACACAACTGTTACACTATTTCTTTGACGCAGAGGATGCCAATGAGCTTTTGCAAACTGTGCAATAAATTCTTGTGCTTCAGCTGCTGTTTGTAAGCATTGTCCCTTATGTAACTCCATTTTCTTTTTTTAATTTTAAAATGTTGATGATAAGTTTTAAATTTGTGTTTCACCGAGTTTTGCCTCGTTTTAAGTCGCTTGCCTCATCCTAATAAATTACCGCCACTCTAGCAAATTTCTCACCTTCAAGTTGGCCGCAATAGATTTATTCATATATATATATATATATATATATATATATATATATATATATATATATATATATATATATATATATATATATATATATATATATATAATATATATATATATATATATATATATATATATATATATATATATATATATTATATATATATCTAAATATATATAAATGTATGTATGTATTTACATACATTTATAAATAACTACATGATGTATATATGAATGCATGTGTGTATATACACACACATTAACTCATAAAATCAAAACAGATTGTTAAAAGAAAAACATAAAGGCATTATTTAATAATTATCAATATTGAAGTTTTTTTTAATTTCCTTTACATAGATCTTGTACAGCCGAATAATAGACAAAATTCTTGTTCTGACAAATATACAAACTTTTTTTTTATTAGTAAAAAGCATGTTAAAAGCAATCTTTAAATAAAACGTTAAAAGTACAGAATTCCATAATTTTAAATAACATCTAAAAGCTAGGTTTTTAGCACGAAGCCACTTTTCAATAAATTCCATAAACAATGTTAAATAGAATATAACAAATCAATGATATAAATAAAGATTTTAGTGAACAATTTTGGTTGTTTGTTTTCATATTGGTCTCTAAACCATGCCTAATATCCATCGCTTCACCAAAAAGTAATACCCACGCACTGTTGACACAGTCAGACCCCTTTTTTATCAAGCTAGATAAATCTGCATGCATTGTACAATAGTTTATTTTATAAAAATTTGTCAGCAAAAAATAAACAATCTCGTTTATTTAGTTTTTTTAATTGTAAATGTTTAAATAAAGGATTTATATGCAGTACAACGCTCTGAAAATCTATTTCTTTAAGAGAATTGTTTTTAAAGCTGCTAGTTTATAATGACAACAACAACAAAACATTCAGATAAGCTAATTCAAATTGTTCGAAAGTCTTTCATTTCAACCCTCTTTGCTCTGAATAGTTCTAATCAAATTTTCTAAATAATTTTTTTTTAAAGCTCCTGACACCATTTTAACATACTAGTTATTGTAACATTTATTCTCTAATGAGGTAGAGGTTTTAAAATACAAAACATTCATTTCTTAATCCGAAGTTGAAATACCCTCAACAGTAACATGTTATTTTAATTTGTAACATGTTATTTTGCTTTGTTGTTACATCACATATAGCCGGTTTATCAGCATGAAACTTCTTTGATTTTATTAAATTAAAATGAGTATTATTTTTATCAACAAATTGGTTGGTCAATAAGAAGTCAGTATAACAATTGACAATTATAACTAATTCAAACAATGCTCCAAGAATTTCATAAACTGCATGACAGATAGAACTGCATTTACGTCTTTCTATTTTATACATCGTCTGAATGTGATGCCATGAGACTATATTTAAAACCTAAATGCTGTAGAAATGGCATTATGGAGAAGGCATTTTCCCTCAGTGTTTGTTAAATAAAAAAAAAACTTTCAAAATAATTGATGCAAAAATTCCACTCGTATTTGCGCAGTTAGTTGCAGCACAGTTTGAAGGCATTTCTGAGTCAACAGCCCTTGGTCAGTCAGTATGGTAATTAGGAGTGGTGTCAGTATGGTAATTAGGCGGATGTCGAAATAAATTACAATACCAATAGAAATACTTAGGAAGTTATGTCATTTGAAATTAAAAATTTATTAAAATTTTTTATTATCATACCCCCTTAGCAATGTCCTTAGTAACAAGTGTCCGTAAAAGTTAACTTAGTTATTGATATATCAAACCATTAACAGTTGGACCTAAGTACGCTCACCATAAATGCGTCAAAAATTTGTACAAATACTTCTATTTGATACAATAAAGTGCCTGATTTTAAGTATTCAATAGGCAATTGTGTTAAAAATCACCCATTCCAGTTTAATTGATAATATTTTTCCTAATATTTGGAAAAATCTAACACCATGCCTATATCGAAAAATAAGAGTTTTCTTGAGTATCATTTTAATTAAATTTTTTTTTTTAATATATCATTTTTACTTGGTACTTTGAAATGATGGTAACAATTTAACTAGTTAAGATACCTTTAAAATAGTTTTTAATTGAGAATGTAGAAAAAAAATTCTGGTAATGATCATGGCTGACGACACGGGTTTCGAAGTGGGAGGGGGGCACAATAGTCAATTTCTAAAAAAGGTCCTCTATATCCTGAATTTTTAAAAAAAAAAAAAAAGGTTCTTTAGAAAAAAAGTGGTACATGCCCCCCTCTGGCATCGTCTGCTCTGTGATACCGAACTGATCTTACCAGCTGAATTGTGGAAAACATCACTAGACAATATCATAAGGACTCAATTCAATATTGATTCTTTTTAGCTTAATCTCATTCTGAAGAAATCGAAAAGCTATTAGGTGCAATAATGAGTAGCTATTAGGTTGGTTTTTACATAAAACGCTATCTTCTAAATCAAAGTAGTGATACTTAATAAACAAACAGCAAGTAAATATCACCACTATTGCTTCAAAAAAAACCTAACCCAAAATGAGCTCCCTAATGTCTATAACTTTTATGGGGATTTTTGGTAACTCAAAATATAAGAATATTTACCTGAGTCTCTGCCCAGACATACAGCATTCTAGCTACTGAGTCATGAGTGTATTGCTTTTTAAAAATCCTTCTTCCTAACTGAAGTATAGATATTCTATAAGGTTATTTGAGTATTACATACATACTTATATGTATCACTATTTTAATGATGCACTGCTGTTGAATTCATTTTTAATATTTGATTACAAACAACACTAAGCTTAAACTTTTTTAGTAGTTTTACATTTTTTATCCTTTTTTTGATAGATAAAAAGTTAAATGCAATTGATAAACATTATCCTTTTTTACCACTTAATGTTAGTTTTATTTAGTGAAACATTTGATTTTGTTAATATTTTTGTATTAAACAAGTTTTTTTGGGTTAAACAGTTTTTTGTGTATGTGTGGGAAAAGTTAACTTATGTTTTAACTGTGTTTTTGTAACATCTGTAACACGAAATATATTGATATTGTTGTTGTTAATGTTGTTATTGTTGTTTTCATAATTGAATAATTTTAAAAGAATTATTTTAATTCTTTTATTTTTAGATTACAAATTACTAAAACTGAACAATAACTGCAAGATTTTTAGGCATTTATATTTAAAAAAAGGCTTATCAATTAAGTATGTACCAACATTTATTTTTTTTACCTTCAACTTGTTTGTCAATATTTTTTATCTTTACCAAAGAAATCATTTGTAATGTTTTATTAAATATATGTGTATTATGTTTTGTTAAAAATTAATGTTTTTTTTTTAAGCATATATGAATGCACTAATGCAATACAAATACACTAATGAGATCTGTCTATTACAAATTATTTTATTATAATAATAATAAAAAATTAAATACAATAAGGTAAGTATACAAATAAGGCAAATCAAATAAAACATTTGATTATAAAATTATGGGAATTATCAAATTGAGCAAAGATGCTGCTTTCTTGCAAAATGACATCAACAAACCAGGTCAAACAAATGACTGGTCAAAAAAAAATGCCTCTTGCTATTCAACACATACAAGTGTAGCATGTAGGCAAAACAGGAAACACAATCACACAAGTCCACAATAGAAAATGAAAATAACACACATCATCAACTACAAACCACTACCCCTGAGCGTGACCTTGGTCTGCTTGTTTCAGATGACCTTAAAGTCAAAATACAGGTTTATTTGACTTAAAGGTCATCTGAAACAAGCAGCGTCAAAAGCAAACATAATGCTCTGAAAACTCAAAGTATTGTTTAGAAGAAAGAGGTATGCCTATCTCAAATGAGACATAAACGCTCTGACAAATCTAGCGCAAAGCAACTAAAATAATTACTGAGCTTAAACATTTTTCTTACAAAGAAAGACTCAACATCAACTCTGAACTAACCACTCTGAAAACCAGAAGAAAACGTGGAGATCTTATGCTCAGTATAAAATAATGCATGATTTCTAAAAAATTGTGTTGTAAATGATTGGAATTCTTAGCTGTCTGAAACATTTATTACATTTATGTAATATTGGCAGGCATGAAAGTGCAATTCTGTTATTTGTATAATTTATTTTTCTAACTAAATTTTATTACAAATAGCAGCTGAAAATGCTTAGTTTGATTCAACAGCAAATTGCTACAATATTTACTTGAAATAGAAGCATCATAGAATGCAAAAATCAACAAGATAAGCTTCAAAAAATATATTCTCAAAAAATATTTTTATTGTAACAAGTGGTTGATCTACAGAAAAAAAAGAATATTTTCAAAACATCAAATAACCTCAGCAATCTTTCAATAGCTGAAAACAAACTTAACTTAATGTTCTCATATTTGTATAAATCTTTTAAAGCTTCTGTTCTAACTGTGTTCATAGAAAAATAATTGAATACTTTCAAGACAACAGTTTCAACAGCATTCTTTATTAAATCTGCTCCATGTTGTATGCAGTTGTGCAAAACGTGGGCAGAACATCCATCACCTACCAACGGTGTTTTTAAAACTTCCTTCAAATAAGAGAACACATTTTTGCTTTTTTTTCTATTAATGCTTCCAAAACATTACATTTGCATTTGCATTGTCTCCAGTAAATGCAACACACTTAGACAACAATTCATATGTTTGGAGTGTTTTTAGAAGTTTCATTTGGTGTGTTATGTAATGTAAGAATTTTAGTTTGGATACCACCAGCCTTCCAGTGAAAGTATTGAATAAGAATCTGAAATTTTCTCTGCGAAACGTGATTGCTAGCATCTGTGGAAAGACCGAAACATGAAATGTTATTTAATGATTTAACCAGTTGATCAACAGTGTGGAGCCTATTGCCTGGTTTATAATTGTCTCAGTTTTTGTTTTTAAACATGCAATATTTTTTACAATTTCCGAATCTTCAAATAATCTGTGCATTAAATTAGCTGTGCAGGTCATCGAGTTGCAAGTCTGATGATGAAAAACTATATGAAATGCTAAAGTTGTTTCATCTGTGTAAGTTTTTTGTAATATCTTAGTGTAAGTTTGTAATATTTGTAATATCATCTGTGTAAGTTTTATGTAATATCTTGTTTTTAGGTTGAAAAAAGGATGTCAACTTATTTGATGACGCTGAAACTTTGATTAGGTTTTTATGTTTCTCACTGTTAACATGGCGCTCTAAGTAAGTAGCTCCATTGTGAGCGACGGAAAAGTAACTAAATAAATCACCAATTGTACACTTTGCCTCATTCTTGTTGCGCCCTTCAGCAAAGCATGAATAGTTTGTTTTCATAGTACTTGAAATCTTTCATTTTCTCTTTGGAGAAATTTAAGTCTTTTTTTAAAAAAAAATCAAAATTCAATTTACAATACTAGGGTTGCCGGACGTCTGGCAACCCTAGTATTGCAGGCCTATTGAGTCTTTTTCATAATAATAAAATATTAACATTTTAGTAGCTTTGCTGAATTTGTTTTGCTTGTAGTGCATGACTACACATTTTTTTTTTTAGAGTGAAGTCCAGGGAAATTAATTTCTTCAAGCCTTTAATCTTTAAACATTTAAAGTGCTAAATATTAAGTGATTTTTATTTAAAGTTTAGGTTATCTTTAAAAGAAAAAAAAAATCAATAAGTCTCAGAAGTTAACACATAAATAATAAGCCTCAGAAGTTAGTGTACCAATAAATGTAAATTAAATAAGAATTGTTGTTAGTAGTTTCATAAGGAAAAAAAAAATTATATAGTATAAATTAAGAAAATGCAATTTTTATTGTTTTGGATATGAATTATAAAAGAGAAATATAAAATAATGTTGCTTATTTTCTGCATTATCCAGTTTATAATAAAATAAAAAGTTCAAGACTTAATGTAAGAATAATTAACTCGTTAATTGTCCTTACCATAATATAACTTGAATTGAAAGTGGTTTCCAAATGTCCTTTTCTTAATATTGGAGCTTAATTAGACCATTTCAAAATTGTATATATAAACAAAACTTTTTGAATTTTATTTGGACTGCCTTCTAATTTGATATGGTTTGTGGTCAGGAAAATAAGTTTAAAATTGCAAGCTTAAATAATGTGTTTTAGTGACTGCTCAAGAAATTCAAAGTTGTAAAAAAAAAAATGGCGATAAAACAGTAAACTTTCTTATCACATAAGTTTGATTGAATATGAATGTTACGATCTATTTAAGGATGTTATACAATGTGTTATCAAAGTTTTCACAAGAGTAAAGAATGATAACTTTCTATTCTGCTTTAAAGTTTTTCTTAAACAGAATTATCGTGAGCTTTCTGTGATATTCAACTATCTGTAATAATAAAATTCAACAATCTGTAAAGTAAATAGACAGAACAACCCATGCAGCTGGATTATAAGAAAAATTGGTTCAGTTTTAGGCTTAGTGAACAGATTGATTGATCTTGAGTGACAAAATCTGACCAAGTCTATTCCTAAATGCCTTAAACTAATTTTGAATCAACTCTTCTAAGATCAGTTTTCATTGTTGGTACCTTAAGAGCAGCAGTCATAGCCTTATTCTCACTATTTTGTACCAAGTCAGAAAATAATAGTCTATAAATAAAAGTCTAATTAAATCTTCAATCAAATACCACCTATGTCCTCTCATTTTCTTAATTGCAATGTCTGCTACCGAATTGTCACCAGCAAGATGAGACTCAAGAGTTTGGAGTAGACAAAGGTTATTAGGCAGTGTGAATAAAAAAAAACAAATGCTTTTACTCAGTATACTGAGTAAAAGCATTTGTTTTTTTTTATTCAATTTTTACATAAAGCTGACCAATTACTAGTAATTGGTCAGCTTTATGTAAATGAAAACCTCAGCAATTTTGCTCATATTTTTATTCATATAAAGCTGAGAAATTACAGTAGTAAACTGCTTAGCTTAACATGAATAAAAATTTTAGCGAGTTTGCTTAAGTTTTTATTCACGTAAAGCTGAACAATTACTCCATAAATGCTGAGTATAACCTATTGCTTTTTTTTCATTCACCCGGCCTATTGAATGGAGTATCAAAACTACTCGGAGCTTTGCGCCAGACTTTTGCATAAATAGTAATAATGAAAAGACAGATATAACAATGACCTGAAAAAATTTGATGGTGTATGGCTAAACCAAAAAAAAAAAATTTTTTCTTTTGGTTTAGCCATACACATTTAGCAACTGTATGTTTAGATTTGACTTCAATGTCAAAAGCCTCAATTGTACTGTATTGGGTAGTGTCAATAAGTTTCCAATGTTCCTTGAACCAACAAAATATTTTAATTCGTGGTCCCGAAGACTGAAAAAAATGGTCAAATACTGCAGCTAAAATAATTTCAAGGATATGATGTCTGCAGACTAAAAGCAGTAAATGGTTATCATATGCCTGTTGAATGATAGTAATTGCAATGGTGTGAACACCAGTGTTTGAACTTGTTGTGTCTCAAAAGAAAAACCTGCAAGGCAATCTGGAACATCTTTCCATTTTTTCAATACTTAAACAACTGAGTTTCCCATAAGCTCACTAATACCCATGCAAAGTTTAGAAATGGGCAATAGATTTTCAACATTTAAACCTGATGTAGTAATTGGCATTCTGTCAGCCAGGTTTTTATATGTATCAAGTTGAACTTTACTATCAAAATGGGCAATTAGGGGGGTATTTGGCTCAAATGTTTCTTGAATGTTTTGGCCTATAGATTTTCATAATGTTTTACAAGCTCTGTAAATTGAGCTTGCATATAGTGTCATATCTTTGCTGCTAATCCCAACAGTTTTGACAACAATGTACATAGCCTGATGATGATGGCGATGATGATGATGTTAATGATGATGATGATGATGATGATGATGATGACAATGATGATGATGATCATCATCATGATGATGATGATTATGATCATGATCATAATCATGATGATGATTTTATCATGTTGATCAAAATGATGTTTATAAATGCATATATATATACAAAATCAAACATAAATTTTGAAAAAAAATGTACTTTAGGATTTATAAATGTTTATGCAGCCTTGTTGCAAACCTGGCCCAGGCTATTTTTTATCAAACCTGGCCTTAGTCAAGTATCAACCCCGGCCGTTTACTGCAGCCTGTACCAATGAAGTTTTTGTGCAATCAAGACTAATAATAAATAATGAATTATCAATAACACAATGTGGCATTGGTGCTAGTTTTTTGTTTGCTTCAGTTGGAGTTAAAGAATAAGGTGGTTTTCTAATATACTTTGTCTTTTGCTGGTGATGCTTGATAATTAGCGGTTCCTTGTCACTAGTTTTTTGATATTCTTAATCTGTATTCAGCCAATCCAGTCTTTTTCACTACAGTTACTTTTTGTTTGTGATGTTCTTTTTGCAAATGTTGCTACACTTCTTTTTGTTCACGTTCTTTTTTCTAAATCTTTTGTGCCCATTACCATTTTCCTTTTTTCTCGTTCATCTTGTAGAAATATGACATCTAGCTAATTTTTGGCAAGTCAGTCACAATCTACCTGAGCCACATCCAATAGCTTACAAAATCAATTTTCAATTCTGCAAGATTTGTTTTTCCCAATTTTAACAAGAGCAGGGGTGTGGAGTCATAAAAAAAAAGTAACGACTCTGACTCCAGTTGTTGAAATTTTTTGAGTACAACTCCGATTCCGACTCCAGTTTTTGAAATTTTTTGAGTACAACTCCGACTCCAAATCTGACTCCAACTCCAAAGCAAAATTTTTGAAAAATTCTTTGAATTCTTTAAAAGATATTATGCAATAAGATAAAAAATTTTTTTTGGACAAATTTATGAAATGTTCTTTGAGGTTTAGTATAAATACAAGGTTAATTGAATGTTTTGTACATACACATGCAATACCAAGAAATATTCCTATCGGAGTCAGAGTCCCGATTTTGTTTAGCGATTTCGACTCCGACTCCAGCTCCACAGCCCTGCATAAGAGTTACATAATATTTTTAATTCAGCAATAATTCCTTTTTGTTCTTTTTTGTGTTGTTGTAACATTGGCAATAAACCAAATTTGTGAAACCTCATTAATAGTATTAGATCAGTATAAGAACAGCTCTGTGAAAGTTTGTTTGTCTTCAAGTCATAAAAGGACAACAGTTGATTACGCACAACATAGGACAACAGTTGGTTATGCACAGCGTAGGACAACAATTGTGGGCAAATAGTTTGAACAACTTAGTTTATCTAGAACTGGTAATTGATGACTAATAAGCCACACATTAGTGTCACATCTTGTTTTAATATCTTTTTTCTTTTACATTTTGACATATTTTTTTTTCACTGAAAATGTAAATTATACATAACTTTTATAACTATATAAAATATACATCTAGATACCTAGTACTTAGATCCAATTTAAATAATATAAAATCTAGATACCTAGTACCTAGATCCAATTTAGATGATATAAAATCTAGATACCTAGTACCTAGATCCAATTTAAATAAACAGTTTAAAAAAAAAATAAAATCAACATTATGCAGTATGCTAATGAGTTATTTTATCAAATTTAATAGATTAGTTGACAAATCAGAAAAGTAGAGTTATTTTTTTATCAATTAATATCAACTGAACAACTAGCCAATTTAATTTTTTTTTTGGAACTGTATAAGCTTTATTCATCTTTTCATAAATTATTCTTGCTTATCAGTGATTATGTATCTTATTATATTATATATAATTATGTATCTTATTATATTATTTATAATTATGTATCTTATTATATTATATATAATTATGTATCTTATTATATTGCATAATTATTGAGCCTTTTCAAATAATTCAGTTTTGCATGTGTTTTACGTGTTGATTTTGATTATGGCAGAGAAGCAAAGTTTTGTGTAGAGCCTTGTGCAGCTCCATGCTTTGCTAATTCACACACAATGGGTGAATATTGATTCTTTTTAATATAATATATTATTAAATATAAAGGATAATATAGTTTTATATATGTAAAATAACATTTCATTTTGTTAAGTATTGTTTATGTAGTAGAAACTGTTAAAGAATATTTAATTTAAAAAAATGCATTAAAAAAAAAGATACATTACATTTATAGACCATTGTATAAAAAATATAGGAATTAAAGCACTCATAATTTAAAAAAGTAGGAGGCTGTTATATAACTGTCATATATATGAATATGTTAGCTTTTAATTTAAAAACTTATATAAATATAGAACTAGAACAGTAGAGGCTGTCATATATATGAATATGTTAGCTTTTAATTTAAAAACTTATTCTTGGGTGCTTAATACAAGGGGGGTTGGGAATAAAAGGGTGGGTGGGAGTTTTAGTCCAGATCTAATAAACAGGAAAAAAAAAGATGGGTAGGAATTTTTTACAGAATACGAATAATCAGTTTAATTCTAGTCTGGCTTGTGGTTAAATGTGCATTTTTTAACAGCTTTTTAAATATAATTCAAAAGAATTTAAAATGCTTACATAAGTTGTATAGTATGGAATTTTTAAAGGTTGACAATTTTTACACTGAAAGTTTTTATTCTTATCAGTGACTAATATATACTTTTTCTAATTTTTATATAATGGAAGTACTTAGTGAAGTAAGAATTTTTGTAAAATTTAAGCTTCTAGCTCCAAACTAAAATCTAATTAAAAATTAAAAAAATTAAAAAACTAAAATCTAATTAAATAACCAAAAAAAAAAGTGTAAATTTTGGAGCATCAGGGACTCACTTTGTTTGTGTATGTACCCACCATCAAAATGCAATACTCTTTTAACCAATGCTATAAAAACTAAAACGCACTTACAAAGATCTGATGGCTAAAGTTGTTTGTGATTTGACAAGTAACAAGGGCATGGTTCATGGATGTTCAAACTGTCCAGGTATAATTTCTTTAAACAAGTTTTTAGATGCACAACAAATTGACAATGACAATGATGATGAGATGTCATTAAATCAGTGGCAAAAAAAATAAACAAAACTACATTGATCTGTCAAACAACAACAACTTAAGAATACAAGTTGATGTTATCAGAAGCAATAAACAAGTTAACATGTTGTGTATGAAAGATGAGTATACTCATCAAACTAAACTCTCCTTGCTTACGGACGACGAGTGTACTCGCTTGAGTTTAAATGCTAATAATTTTTATTCTGTAAGTTTTATTCCCAAAATTGCTTTTAAATCTTGAATTAAACATCCATTAGTTAAGTTTTTAAGTGAAAACATATATTTGTTAATATTTAACTTTATCTTTGATTTTAACTATAAAGAGTACTTTTTATGGTTTTTATGAGTAAGATATTGTAAATATTCTTGAGGTTTTCTTTCAACTATTTCTTCATTAAAAAAGTTACTGCTTTAAAGAAAGCATTTATATATAAGTAATATATATCATCTGCATTGCTCGAAACTGTTTATTCTTCATGTGTTTCTCCTATGTTTAAATTATGTTTAAATTAATTTAAATTAGGGATCAATACAAAGAGCTGGTTGGCCAGCGGTGTCTTGATATTCTTCTTACCTAATTTTTATACACTGCTTACATTTCTTTGTTGGTTTTTTTTTTTCCACTTTATGGAATTGTCAATAGGTAATGGAAACTTACCTAAGGTATTCTTGCAGTTGGTTTTACTTTTTATTTTCCAATAAAACTTTTTATAATATTCTCTAAAAACTCAACAATATAGCAAAACTCTTTATTTTTTGAAAATTTGGTATAAAATTAGAAAGATTCATTTAATATCATCTCCAGGATATAAACTCCTGCTTTTTTGCACCACCTTAAAGTTTTTCGTTTTATTTTAGTTTTCCATTTTTTCTTTAATTTTTCATTTCTGCATTTTCAACTGCCTCTGGTTCCGTTTTCTGTCTTTCTTTAGGGTCTCTGTGATTTATTCGAGTAATTTTTTTCATCTCATTGAGATTTACGTCGTAATGGTTTTGCTCTGATAATAACTGTCAGCATATTCGACTATTTTCTGTAACAAAGTATTTAGTCAGTCGTCTGTAAGTAAAAAATTGAAGAAAAACATTGGAAGTGCATTCTTATAAGCATCCAGATTCAATCCTGGTGTTTTGTTAAAAATAAAACTTAATATTTATTCCAACCAATACTTAAGTAATCCTCACTTATTGTGTCATTATTTAGAGTAACCAAGTTGAGTCGTTTAATTAATGGTAAACTTCTATAACCTCCCCTCAACAATAGTTAATAAAAATAATATTAAAAATATTATTTTTATAGTTTAAGTTGAATAAAATATTTGGTTTGTGAGTTTATAGTACCAATTATCTGCCGTATTTTAGCAACAATTGCTGAATATTGAATTATTCTAATTTTCCCAAGTAAATAGATTCTAATTTTCCTTGTAGATCCAGATCAGCTATCTAAACATCCAGAAAGAAAACATCAAGCAGCTTATTTTCTTTAAAGTCATCATCAGAATATCTTAATTTAGTGAAAATCTTCAATGTCAATCAAGCAACTCCTGATTTATCATATGAAGAAGCATCTAAACTTCAACCCAAGAACATAGAAGAAATGTGGTCTATTGTAAAGAAAACATTAGATAAGCAAGCCATTAATGTGGAACCTTTAAAAAACCGCAAAGGTTGGCGTACTATTAGAATATTTGTATCAAGCACTTTTAAAGATTTTCATCATGAAAAAGAAGTTCTTGTCAAAGAGGTATGGAATTTGTTTAGGAAAATATTGCATATAAATATATATATATATATATATATATATATATATATATATATATATATATATATATATATATATATATATATATACATTTTTGATATTTTTATGAATATTAGTACTTTTCAAAATGTTCTTTTAAAACATCTGTTTTAGAAATTTTATTTTAGTAAAATCTTTTTTCATGCCTTCAATTTATTTTGCTTTTTTATTATGATTACCAAGAGCTAATTCAAAAACACTATACTATTTAATGTAATTTATTTAATCAAATAGCTATTCTTTTTAATTTTTCAAAATTTTATGAGCCTCGAACACCAATTCACAATCTGAACAACTGTTTTTTTTAACTCAGATGTTTACAGTAAAAAATTGATTTAGCAACAAAATAACAGTTCCATAGCAACAAAAAACATAATCTTGTGAATTCTATAGTTTTTTGCTAACAAGTTCTTACTTATGCCAGATAAAGTGTAATGTGGTAAGTTGATTGAAAAAGAAAGGCATGATTTGTGTTTTGAGCTATACTGAACAATATCTCATTTTTAATTGTATATGTAAAATTAAAATAATTCTTAAAAATAATAGCATTTCCTCAATTAAATGTATTTATGCTTTGATCTTGTAAATATATACAATATAAAATCCGTTGATTTTAAATTTAAAATATTTTAATTGATAAATAATTATTTATCAATTAATCTATATTAAATTTCAAATCAACTGATTTTATATTATATTTACATGATATTATTTTACTGATGATTATAAACATTAGTTAAAAAATAGATAAAGCCAGAGCACCAAACAATACATTTGTAAACATACTGTATAAATATACACAAAAGCAAAGTTCATGGTTTCTAATAAACTTAAAATTAAAAGACCAGAAATATCTCCATATTGAATGTTGTAATTAAAATTATAAAGCTCAACTTAGATATTATAATATGATATACATATAAATTTTTTTAATATCTTTTATGCAGATTTTTATTTAGTTTATTTTTATTGTTATAATTATTATTAATTATTGTTATAGGTGTTTCCTGATCTTCGGCTTTGGTGTGAACAAAGAAAACTTCAGCTTGTAGAATGTGACTTATGTTGGGTATCTATTTAAAATATTTTGATTGATATTAAAAATCGTGTAAATATAAAAAAAAAATTTTTAAAGGGTGTTCCAAAAGATTCTACAACAGAAGAAACTATTAAAATATGTCTCAGTGAACTGGATCGTTGTTATGAAGATAATGTTTCACCTTTTTTTCTAATTTTAGCAGGGTAAGTATTTTTATGTGTGTGTGTATATATATATATATATATATATATATATATATATATATATATATATATATATATATATATATATATATATATATATATATATATATATATATATTTATATCTATCTATATTATATATATAAATATATATATAAATATATATATATATATATATATATATATATTTATTTATTTATTTGTATAGATATATAAAATATATTTGAGATTAAGTATTTTGATGTAATGATACAAAGACTCTTGTACATGTTACAGTGCTCAATATTATTAAATAATAGAGCTATATATATTTTTTATTTAAATCAATAAAAACAACTGATTAGCAACTTAAAGTTTCATGCCTGAAGCTTTATTCTTCATGGCCATAGCTTAATTTTTCTTTTTACATTTCAGGCATAAAACTTTAAGTCCTGCTAATCAGTTGTTTTTATTCATTTTGATAAAAAATTGTTATTTTTGGTTTTATAACATAAAAATTTTTGTTTTTTAACAAAAAATGAAAAAAATGCATTTTTTATGTTTTTTTATGATAATTTTTTTATAAGTTAAAATTTTTTTGAAATGAATATTATTTTTGAAATTTTTTATAATTTCGCTTCATTTGAGTACCAGGTTAACATATATAAAATATAAAGCGTATGTATTAGCTAATATTTGTGAAATAATTTAATGTATTAATGATTGTTAAAAAATATTCATTTATATGATAATGTGCGTTATTTATATATTAAAAAATAAAATTAAAAATTGATATAAAACTATAAATAATATTATAAAATATATTACAATAGATGTGCAAGTGTGTGATTAATTTTATTAATTAGACTAGAGATATATAAAGTAGAGTAATATAGATATTGTTAGTTTTTAGTTAGATTTGTAGCAAGCTTTGTAATTTTTTTTTAAGAATTTTTTCGTGGTGTCCCTTTGATATAATATCTTTCAGTCCTTTTATTCACCAGTTCCTAAGGTTTCGGATACAATATAATAGCAAATTTCTCATATAGACATAGTGGGCATATTTTGGAAATATTTAAGTTGGGGGTTGCAAACTTCAAAATAGACCATGTTAATATAGGGGATTCGCTAAAATTGTTTTTCAAATCCCAGACATAGTTTAATAGGGTGGTCAACTTTTTGTATTTAACATAACTGAATGATGATTTGTGGTGATTATATCTGGTTTTCATTTCACCTTTCGTTAATCCAATATGAACTTTGTTTTTAGCTGTGATGATGCATTTGTATATAATGTTTGTGGATTTGCATTTACTATTCAGGGGCATTCTGTTTTATTTCAACAATTGCATTTTGGGTCATTATTTTCAATTCTTGGGAATAAAATGTTTTGGTTGTGGTTTTTTATAATATTTTCGATATTTTCAGTGCGGCTGTAGCTTACCTTAACAGTGTTTCTGTTTAAGATTTTGTGGAGTTTGTGTGTTTTATGGAAGTTTTTTTAAAGTAAATTTAAAAACATTTCAGCAATATTTACGATGGTATCTGTCTGTTGAAAGTCACATTATGAAATGTCTGCTGAAAGACACAATAAACTGATAAACAAAAATGTTACAAAAACCTTATAATTTAGAAAAATTAGTCAACCTAGAATCCAACCAAACAGCCTTAAAATTAAACTTGAGTAACCAAATAGAACACCAAGCAAAATCTCCAGAATTGTCTTGAAATCTTAAAATCTGTCATCTGCCGTCTCATTAACCCAGCAAAAAAAGAAATCAGAATAATAAGCAAAAAATTTTTAGACATTACTAACACATTCTAAAGAAATAGCATACAAATAAACCAATGGAAAAATACCACTAAAGTTATTAATTGGTTTGACGGCATCAGAGACAAAAATAGTTGCTTCTTTATCCAATTTGACTTAAATGAATTTAATTTATCTATAACTACCGAAATTATTTAATAAAGCTGTTTCCTTTGCAAAATAACACACCACAATAACAGACAACCAACTTAGAATTATAAAACAGCCGAAAATCCCTCCTCTACTACAACAATAACACGTGGATAAAAAAATTGAATCATTAAAGTTTTGATGTAACAACGGGCAGCTACAATGGCACTGAAATTTGTAAACTTCTAGGGATCTACATACTCAATTAACTATCCAATATAATTATAAAAACCGATATAGGGCCTTACCGTGATGATGGCTTGTTGATAATAAGTAATTCTAACAACCAAGAAATGGAACAATTGCCAAAAAACATTATCTAAAAGTTTAAAGATATAGGATTTCAAATAGATATAAAAACAAATCTTCAATCAGTTAACTTCCTAGAGTTAACTTTTAATT